GGATTGGGTTTTTTCCGATACTACCTGAAGCATTTTAATCCAGTATCAAGATGGAGAAGGAAATTGGTGCAGCGACCAGAAGTCTGATGTAGTGGTTCTTGGTTCAGACTAATTTCCTCAAAGTCTTTTTTTAATGGGAAGACTAGGTTTATATAGCGTACCCATCTTACCAGGACCTACAGCAGCACCCACACTGATCCAGCCTGATTACTTACTCTGTGTTTGCTATAGCTTTTCTGCATGTCATAGGCAGTGTGAAACCTCTTTCTTCTTTCTAGGTCCTCTGTTAATCACAGGCATGTAATTGCAGGGGAATGGAAGGGGTTGTAGCGGTCCGATCTTTTAGGATCATAATGAGGGATAGCCAATGTCTGTACCTTAAAATGTATTAACATGTGCTTAGGGATTTAGTTTTTGTGTTACAGCAGCCTGCTGTGCATTCTGTCAGGGCAGGAATGAATAAAATCTGAGGGATTAGAAGTCCATCCTTTAGGTTCAGTAACTGCTTTCTAAGATTGCCATTGAGCTTGTTAGAGCACACTGCTCTAATGCTAGTGCTGTAATGCTGCTCATTGCTGTTCAGAAAAAGTATCAGTGACAAACTCCATTCTGTAGCCAGAAGGGGTTATTTAATCATTAAATCTGTTAATTGTCAGCTATTCATCTTTATATAATGCATAATTATGTGCTTTGATGAATGTTACCATAATTGTGAATTAATTTTTATTAGTTAATTGTTACTTATCTGACATTGGCAGCTGAGCTCATGCTGGTTGTTCAAATTTTCCTTATTCTAGGTCCTTCACACACTTTCTGACAGGAGTTTGTGCCATCGTTGGAGGCATATTTACAGGTATTGCACTTCTTAGTCTTTTTTCTTTCTAAATTGTAAACATTTGCCATCTTACTCTTTCTAAAGTCTGCAAGGCTGGTAATAAATCCCTGTTTGATGGGGAGAAATTATTTCAGTCTTCAGGAGGGGATATAACATGTTCTGCAGAGCCATGGGAATGGCAACAGATTGTAATTAGCACTGCAGACTTCCCAGGTGATGTAGACCTATTACAATATTCCATTTTGATACTCTACAGGACTTTTTGTTTTCAAATAATGCGGACTTTCGCATACCACATGTGTACTGTTTTCTTGGGCAGCCTGGGGCTGTAAGCAGATAGTTGCTTTCGTGTGGCACCAGAGACTGAAATCTGTGAGCCCAGGTCACCATGGGCATAGCCACCTCAGAGGTCTCAAACCACCCTCCCAGACATAGGAGCTCCCATGAATGCTGTAGGGACTAAAAGTAGCCCTCACAGCTAGACAGGGTCCTGTAAAGAGAGGCTGATCCTGCAGAGCCATTTGAGTGTCTGGACTTCATTCTCAATGCTGGCATCTGGAATACCTAACCAGTATCCTGCATGTGACAGAGTCCAGCCTTGCACTCCAGCTAATGACCCAGGGTGCTCTGAAACAGAGGTGTTCACGTGACTGTGAGATCTGGTCAGCAGATCTTACTGGACCTGTGAAGCCAGCTACTATATCACATACCTATATCACATAATAACTTTATCTGCAAGGTTTTCCTGTCACCTGAGGTGTCACAATGCTCAAGTAACCTGATCCTGTTAAACAGTAATACATTTGAGCATATTCATTTCTATGGTTGACTCAGAGAAAGGTTTTCCAAAAATATTTTTATGACAAATGCAAGGGGCCCCTAGCACTGATTAGGTTTGACAGGCAGTTCATTGTGTTTGCTGCACATTGTGTTTCAGGGCAAAACATCCACAGAAAACAGTCAGCTGAAGTGTTCCTTAAAGACCAGATAGTAAGGCAAATAATTCCATATTCTGCAGTAATAAACAGAAGATGCAGTTCTGATTTTAGCTGCTACTCTTTATATAGTATCAAAATGTCTGTCTTTGTGTAGGGTCAGGTAATTGCTTACTTACTTATTCCTTAGATTGAGGTGTTGAATAAAATAAAAAAGAACATGAAGCTTGATAAATACACTGAAAATGTCTTCGCTTACTGGCACCCCGTGTTCCCTCCCTGTCAAGAGCTCAGGTTCCTGTCCTGTGAAAGCCACCTCGATGGATGCACGGTTTTGTGGTGTGATAGACCCCTTCTGATCTTTTCTGTGGTCCCAAACAAGCACTGAATTAATAGGCTCTTTCAGTGCTGGAGAGATTTGAGGAAAATCTCACAGAAGGAACTAAAGGCATGGGTTTGTTTTGCTTTGTGTCTCTGGTGAGTAAACGTTGCAGTCTCGGATAAAGGGCATCCATAAAGGGCAGCATCAGGTAGAGCAGCTTACTTTTAAGGTTACTATGAAATGAGCAAGAAGTGGAAACCATGCCCTTGGCAAGCTGGGTCAGGGCAATGACCTGGCATAAAGGGCTCCGCATGAGCTTCCTCGCCTAACTCTTCTCGCTCATCAGTAAACACCTGTGAGAGCTCTTTCTGGAGAAGCATGATGACCTCTGCCCTGCAAGCTGGATCTTGTCTGTCCTAATGAGATGAGGACCTTTTCCATCTGAGCAGCAGCAGTTGTTTCCTGTCTGGGGGAGTTGGAATTCCTTTCCACTGACAGAAGGGTTTGTGTTTTCTTTCCCTGGGAGTTGTTCTGTCTTTGAGGAATGTCTGCTTTGATCCATCTGTTTTTTCCTTTTAGTTGCAGGATTCATTGACTCCTTGATCTATCACTCGGCACGTGCCATCCAGAAGAAAATTGAACTTGGGAAGACAACATAAATAAGCAACAACTTCACCTCTAAAAAGAGAAGTAAACAGGTTTTTTGAAACACAAGTGATCTTCTGAGTGAACAAGAGAAGAGGTTTGCAATTACCAGATGGCCCTGACCACTCTTAGGTTACTGTCCCATAATTCTTTGTTGGCATTAATTCATGGACGAAAGTGCTTGAACCTTGCTGATATAAAGGTTAGCCTTCTTGTCTGGCTGTGCAGACCCTACTGTAAAAACTCTTTTGTGTCAGTCCATGTTCATCCAGTTCCACCCTCCTCCCTGAAAGAGATGCTGGAGATACTGCATTCTGTTTGCCTCCTGGAATAATGTACTGTATTGTCATGAGACCTGGAATGGATTGAAGTTGCCATCAAATAAGCTTTGTAGTAACACCATCTAGCTTTTTAAATTTTTCTTTAAAATGTTTCTGAGTATGCTGATGCTGGCATAGGCCAGAACTCTCTGAAAACGTGCTGAATCCCATGCACTTTCCTTCCAGCTGTCCTGGGCAACGTGGTGAGACCTGGTACTTGGGATGTGCTTACTGTGCCGTGGGGCATTGCAGTTGCTCCAGATTGCTCTTCTTACGAAAGATGTGAGTTGATGTTTCAGCAAAAAAGTGTGTTTGGAGTTTTAATTGATTTTTAAATTAGACTGTGTTTTTTGCTTCCCCTCTGCTTATATTTTGAAATAAAGTCCATCCTCTGTGTGTTTTCGTAAAGCATTTGGAAGAATAATTAAATTATTTGAACTAATCCTGGTACTAAACTGGAAATTTAATTAAAAAACACACCTACACGGTGAGGAAATATGTAGAGACTGTTTTTTTTCTTTTTAATGATTTACACCAGTGAGTTAAGTGCTTGGTATGAGGAATTATATTGGAAGAAATTTGAAAATAATGAGGAAAAATAAAATATTGTGGACCTTAGTATTGACTCTAAACTTGGTCCAAGCAATTGCTCCAACAATGCGCAGTGTGACACACAGATACAGGATCAGATAATGCAGAGATAAAGCTATTTTATAATGCATTTGAAAGCACTTTTGGTTTATAGCTGTTTGTTTTTGGTTTTATAATTAGTTGAACTTATCTACACATCAGGGAGTATAAAAGGTTTGTAAAAAAAAAACAAACCCTACATTTGAAACGACAATATTTAATAAATCTGTCGCATCAGGATAGTATAGCACTGCTACGGTGTGAGGAAGGGGACATCATATAGATATGTGTTGTCAGGAACAAAAAGTGACCTGAACAGCTTTGTAATCTGAAGGAATAGTCAGGAGGGGGCAGATGAATAGAAATAATACTGCAGGAGTTTAACCTGCAGTTAAAGTTACCAGCTAATGGCTTGTCCTTGATGAGAAAGCCAATTACTTGTAAACCTCAGGAAGGCATCGGAGAGTATTTCACAGAGCACTGCTTAGCACCTAGAGAAAATTGAGGGAAGGTGAAGGGGAGGCTAAGTGCAAGACTTGTACTCAGTGTGGGAAACTGGATGTGGTGGAGAAGAGAAACAGAAGACACAAACAGAAATGGAGATTCTACCTGGAGAGGTAAAAAATTAATGAAGCTTGAATTAATTCAAGTAATACAGGCTTCTGCCACAGAGATCTGGTGACTTTAATAGACTGAAATACTGAGTGCCTAATAGCCATGGAAAAGCTGAGTCTGATGCAAGGATGTTCATGGTTTTGATTGAAAGCAGGAAAAGGCATCCTGCTAACCCTGTTCTGGGGAAGAAAGCTAGTCAGTCGGTCTCCAGGGTCTGCAGTCTTCTTCTGCAGGAGGGGCAATATTTCCTTATAAAAAGACAGGAAGGGAAGATGCCACTCTCCCCTTTCCCAAAGAACAGCTACAAACCTCCCCAAAAGCTGTCAGTGGTGTCAGCTCTGTCATGCAGCCTCGTTTAGCAGCTGCCGTCATCACCACCCCAGAGATGCGCACAGCAGCTCCCGGGCTCCATACGCACCTCCAGCCCTGCTGGCTCCCTCTCTCCCAGCCACAGTGGGCAGAACCATGCCCTCCTGTGTCCACCCAAATGCAACGTCCCTGGTGTCATGGGAGTGTGTCACCTCCTGGCACCCACAGTGCCCAGCTGGTGGGACCAGCACAAACAGCATGGAGACTCCGGGGATTGCAGAGCAGCACTGAGGGGGGGAAGCAAGCTAAAGAGCTGAGGCAGCTGCCAGCAGTGCAGGGGGCTGCCAGTTCCTGTGGTAAGAGCCTGGCTTCAGTTTCTTGGGAATGCATCATTTGTAGAATAAAATCCTGCCTTCGGCTGCCAGTCTCTCGATGAGGCTGAATTCGACGTCAGCATCGTGGACCCTTGTCCTGCGAAAGGCTCCAGACCAGCGGTTTTTCTCCCAGTAGTGGTGCCAGGTGCCTGCACTGTCTGCTCCGAAGCCAAACACGGAAACCTGCGCACACGCCAGCAAGAGCCATCGCTGCACGGACGCCCCGCCACCCCAAGGGCCCCCCCCGCCTGCACTCACCTGCTGGCAGGTGTGCAGGGCGAAGAGCAGGGCTATGAAGCCAGTGGAGGGGTACCGCCCATGGCGCTGCGTCCAGCTGTCATGGATGTACTTGAGGAAAGCTGGGCTCAGGATCAGCACCTGAGTGGAGAGCAGAGGAGCCATCAGCTGCTCACCATGCTGTGTTTGGGACAGCCAGCCCCTGCCATCAGCACAGCCATGGGCCCTCCTCAACAGCTCTGCCTGTGTCCCGAGGGAAAACAAGCCTGGTCTCTCCCGTGGCGAGCCCTGCCTGCCCAAGAGGAGCTGCAGCCTGCCAAGCTCTTACCTTGTTTCTGTCAGCTTTGATGAACTGTTTCACCCTGACGTATGTGCTGCAAAAGCCAGAGGACAGCAGTGAGTATGTGGCATTCTCATGGCCAGGTCTGCATCATTGGAGACAGTTTGCACAGGGTGGCTGTGCCCACCAGCATCCAGCCCCATGGCACTCCTAGCCCCTTGGGCTGGCCCAGTGGCATCCCCTGGCCGGGCTCTGGGAAGGGACACATCAGGCCCTTGGCCTCACAGTGGGAACAGCCACCATCCCACCCATGGGGGGTTATGGGACTGCAGGACACCTGAGCCCTGTGAGAAAGAGTCAGAGCCCACTTCCCCAAACTGAGGTGCAGAGGCATGCCAGGACCCACAGCCAGGGGCCCTTAGTCCCAGCAGGACCGTGGTGCCAAAGCCCGAGGGTCTCCAGGACCACCCTGTGCCATTGTCATGGCCTCCAGCATAAGAGATGCTGTCCCCCAAAGCCAACGCACTGCGTGAGCTCTCCAGTGGAGAAGGCGCTGGCCACCCATTGCAGGTCCAGTGGCTTGAAGGGGACAAGGACGAGGTGGATGCCAGGCCCGAGGTTTACTGCGCTCTCTGGGTACATGAAGTGATGGGTTGTTCTCATGCCAACGTCCAGCTCAAAGCCAGCAATCTTTGCTCTGTTCATCCTAGGGGACAGCAGGAAGGCACATCCCAAAATGAAGGTGCACACTGTGCAAGTCCTAGGCTGCTGATCCCACCAGGCAGGGACACCAGCTCACCCTGGCCAGCCGCAGAAGGCCGGTGAGTGCCCCAGGGTCAGGGGCTCCAGGTAGCAGGAGGCTCCAGCCCCCGCCCCTCCCCCCCAATTGCAGGGCTCATGTTGGTGGATTTCACAGGCTAGCTGGGGGATAGGACACACAAGGATTGTGGGGAGACAAGGACGAGCCAAGTCCTTTCAGGTCACCCACCTCAGCACCCAGTCATGGGCATCGATGCGCAGCCCGTGGCCAGACCCCTTCAGCCACCCCGAGTTCCCCACCACTGCACACGTCCTGCAGTGAGACGGGTCCCACGCATCGCCAGTCGGGGCTGGGAGGACAGTGAAGAGCTGCCGAATTACATCCTGGAGCTGGACACCAC